TGTACTCAGGAAGTTACCTCTGGCTTTTAACTGTGAGAGTAAAGATGAACATTAGGTCAAATTCCAGGAGCAAAAAAAAATAAAAAATGGAGAGACAGATAAATGAGAGACAGACGGAGAGAAACAGAAACCCAGAAAGCACGAAACAGCAGGATGAAGATGCTGGCTCTTTGCCAGTTTGTTCCCTTTAGTTTCAACACCATGGCTCCCCTCTTCCCTGATATTCTCAAGATGCCCTCGGCAGACATACAGAAGCTTTTATTTTACAACAGCTGATGGCAAAAACAGCTGTGCAAAATAGAGTATATTCATAAAGAATCATTTAGGTGCTGTCCTTTGGATGGTTGCTTATCAATTACCATCCCCTACTGCCGTTGTCATTTACAGTCCTCTAACACTGCAGGCAAATGTAACTGAAATGTTTGCAGAAAGCCCAAAGCTGTGGTTTATTTAAGATGTTTTTTGAACTACTGAGCCAAATGTTCAGCTGATTGCCAGCATGCCTCTCTATGGCTGCCAGTACCATTTAAATGAACACTCGGTCTTTTGATAGCTACTCATTTGCAGAGGAATACATTTTAAAGTTGTATGTGCTGTTACCTGTGCATAGTTAAATCCTTACATATTTTATTGTTGGACATATTAAACCGATCGAGTGAATTCAAGTTCATGTCGAGACCTCATACTTTGTTTTTCCACGCTGTAGCATTTGCCAGCTCCACATTTTGCACACCAAATGTTATTTTGTTCTCCATATCTCGCATCGTTTGTCATCCCTGCGACGAGTAAAGTACTTTAGCAGGTTATGTGTGACACTACCTGTCTCGTTCCCCCCGTGTCCTGTGGCTAAAGCAGCAAAGTTTGGTGGTTGAAGTATGTCTGATTTACAGCAGGTGCTATTGTTGTCCATGTAAATGTCTTTTTAACATAAAGACCAGGGGGCGGTGAGGAACAAGGGTGCAGAACAGTACGCCACACAGGCTTAAAAAATGGCAGCATCATAGATAAATGGAAAACTGAACTATCATTAAACTCCTCTAATATAGTTTGGTTTTTGTTTCTGTTGGTGGTGGCGGTAAAATATATATTTTAAGTTAAACAATTAAATTCACTTGAGAAAATGATGGCTCTAAGGTTAAATGGCTTTATGCAGACAATTTGAATTACAAATTGGCAAAACTAATGCTTAGTTAAGACAACTTAAAAGGTAAAGGTCACATCTGGTATCAAGAATCACCAGATACAACCTGACAAACCAGGAGAATGACAGAAAAAAGTGTGACAAACTGTGAACAAGTAATAAACAATTAATAAATAAGATAATATGGTTACACTGGTAAGATAAGTGTGAGACAGCAGTTTTTAGAGAAAGCTTTTAGCATGATGATAATCTTAAATTGGCAGCAACTGAAATCAGGAAAAGCACAAATGCCACAGAGAAAACAGAAAGAAGAAGTCAGCTGATCGAGGGTGAAATAACTCATAACAATGCTTTGGCTGAAATATGGAAGAAATCTACACTTTTAATGCGTAAGAGAGTCCAAACATTCTTTTAATTTTGGTGACTGCTGCACGTTTGCTGTGCCAAAAAATAGGAGTTTTAACGTGTTTCCAAGAAAAGACTCAGCCTTCCAAGAACCTTTGGGGAGTGTAATTTAATTGTTATTTTAACGCTGCATGACATCATTTTACGTGACAACAACTCGTGGCAGGTTGTTGTATCGGTTTCACATGGCAGCTAATCGAAACTGTGACACGTGATTTTCCTTCTGTAGCTGAAACATCGTGAGTGGAAGCAGTGTAAGGATTATTTCGAAGCGTTATGTTATCGGCGAGTGTGTCGCTGTGAGGAGAAAAGTTCAAACTCTCTTACAACAGTGAGTTGTGACAAAAAGACTTTCATTTCAAACTTTCTCCAAAAAGCAAAACTCGTTTAGACTGAACACGAACTAGTCCAATTTTTTAAACACTGATAACATTTTTAGAGGAAATAAATATATCTTCAACATTTGGATGTGTGTTAAAGGAGAGAGCACGTTGACCTGGTGGTCATCCTGCCTGATAATTATTTCCAGTGGTTGACAGCAGGAGGAACTGTGCTCCACTGGGTTGATGAAAGACACAGAAAAGCTGTTTACCTTTCTCTGTTTTGCTCTCGGCCTCTTTTCTCTCCTCCTCCCTCTATCTCTGCCGCTGTCAGTCTCTCTTTCTCACCCCCTCATAATCTATGGCCGCTGTCATCGCTCTGAGAGAGCGGCGTGTGTTTGTTTGACACGCTGCTCCTGCATATCTTTTAACAAGGACATGTCACTAATAACTAATGTATCACACAGACAGGAAGACACCCTCGCTAACTGTAAACTAACCCCGGAGTGATGGCAGGCGATGCTCTCGTGCCTTCTTGTTTCACACGAGTGTGTAATGCTGTAAACTGTAGTCTGATCATTAGATCATCTTGTGGACTAGCAAAAAAAAGAAGTGTTACAAAGTCAGTACCAGTAACTGCGTGGCTGGTTTCCACTGTCTTTGGCTACATATGTGGTCTCTAAAGTCTTTTTCCCTTCCTGTTGCCCAATGATTAGTTTTCTAGGTCACAACCCGGCAGCTGTGTGACTAATGTCATCTTTTCCACTTGCTTTCATCAACTTTGGTAGTCTGGTTTGACCAGGTAGTGCCATGTGGTGCGTGGAACCCCAGCATGTGAAAGTGATGGATGACTCAAGAGAAAATGGTCTTGATTTACAAAGCTGGCCAATCAGCTTATTGTGAAAAAAGGGAAGCTCCTTATATTGATGTATGAATCATAAAAGAATATTGAACTACGGTTTTGTTTATCCACCAGTGTATTAATACAGCATGTGTAGTGTCTGGAAATATGAACCATACAGTGTCTGTCCTTTCTCTGGTTTGTGGTTTAACGGTTTTGGAATGCCTCTGTCATTACTCGGCCACAGGACTGTCTCCTTCTAGCTTTGCTGCTCTTCAAGGTACAACATTTTACTTTTTATCACTGCTGCAATGATCTTCCTTCTCTAGTGTTTGATGTAGGGTGTTAGCACCTAAATCCTAAATCTAGGATTCTTTTTTCCAGGCTCAATGTGGGCGATGTTTTTAAACTCCAGTGTAAAACGCAGTAGTGCTTACACAGAATCGTAAAACAAACAGTTTAGGGAGGAGATGTAAATCCTGCTCAACGTTCAGGAGAAACACCAGCTTGTGTGTTTGTTTTTCTGTGTATTTGTGCGAGAAGGTCAGAAGGATAGTCAGGCCGATTCTGATGCAGTAATTCTGTAAGTCAGAGGTGTTCTGCTCTGACCTGTGTGCTCATGCTCTGCAGTGTTTACGCTCCACCAGCATTAAGCATAAGCCACATATTTTTAACATGAGGATCCTTCACCATAGGCCTTGCAAATAGTGAGCGGCACATCAGCCTGGATCAATCAGCTCACTGCCTGTTTGGTCCGGCTCCATGTGTGCAGGGTGTGGGTGTTTAAGTGTGTGTATGGTTGTGTTTATTGAAGCTAAAATACAATACAAAACCAGTAGGTATGTTTTATAAAACTATAGCTGTTTCCATCATCCATGATTACTTGATTGTTTTACTGATCAGCTGCCAAACTGACTTTTTGGCAGTGTTTGAATAAGTATTAACAGAAGACGTCGTAACAATAGCACAGCGTAAAAGTATTGGATGCTTGTTAAACCCTGCATTAAAAGATTTACACAAGTAAAGGGCGTGGATCTACTTTCAAAAGCTACCAATCACAAAAACAAGAGTATATGAAAAGCTTTGTCTAACCGCAGGAAAGCTGTAGCGTTAATATTTGAGTAAAGAGCAAAACTGCACTGAATACAGTACTCGAGTACTGCATCATTACCTTTTACAAAGCCAACAGCAGAAACATGTTTAAAGAACATTAAAAGTCAAGGACTTTAACATTCTTAGCTTGTGGGAAAATACCTGAAGAGTGATTTAAACTCTTTTAGCTGAGCTGATGTTCCTAATGGGAACAGAGCCAGTGACATTTTGATATTTTTCAGCTGTTTGAAAGGTGGACGCTGGTCTGTTCAGACGCAACACTGACCTCTGCTGGTTATAAGTGCTACACTGCAAGGATTACAGCAAAACTGGTTTTTGCAAGAAAACTGTAAAATATCACGGAAAAAAATCAGGTTTCTTTTTTGTTGTTGTTGTTTTGTGAAGATTATCATATATCACTAATTGCTTTTTCTAATTTCCTCGTTTCTATAATCTCCTTTCAAAAGGCTCCGCCTCCCGCACCAAAGCAGTAAAACATGTTAAGTTAAATATTTATAACACTAATAAACTTGTGTTCCAGCACTAAGCAAGCAAAGTGAAACACCGACACAAGTTAAAAAAAATAACAGTAATGCTGTCACACCAGCTTCCACTGACCTCTGTGACCTGCTGGGTGTTTGTCTGGAAGGAAGTGGGTGTATTCACACACAACGCGACGCTGTGCAAACGAGCCATGAAAACAGCATTATGTGCATGTACACATACAGATGCATGGCACTATTTTCAGTGCATAGGTTCACTATGTAACGAGTAACACTGGATGAGGTGTTAAATGCCTCACATTCCAGTGTACGGAAAACGCAAGCTCTTAAAGTTAAACATGGTGAGTGTGTGTACACGGCATGAGATAAGGTTAGGTAATGATAAATTGTGTATGTCTGTAAAAAAAGGGTGGCAGGTTTGTGGGGCTGTCTAAATAAACGAAACCGCTTGTTAAGCATGTTTACATTCCTGATTGCTCTGAATGGCTTTTATGCCCATCTTGTCCCTTTGCAGGGCACTTAAACACATACTCCTTTTGAGTCGGAGGTTTGCCTTTAAGATTACTTTTCCTTTGATTTGGTTTGATCTGAAAAACGATAGCTCCAGATGTATTTATGAAAATGTCAACGCGTATTATATCTGACTAAAATAACATTTGCACAAGTATTTAGTGTGTTTTTTTGTGTGTCTTTTGCAGAGCTGTAGTTCACGGGGTCCAGATGGCAGGCATGAGGGGCCCGACCTGCATTGGAGTCTGGCTCTAGAGTCCACAGGGGCTCACACTTCAACTGGACACATTCCACAGGTACCCTTAAACACTCACCAAGAGTAACACGTAAAAAGCAAGACATACTTGAGCAGGACCAAAGAAGTGCTCAGTGAATCAGAGCAAAAGAGTCAAACTAAGAACAGAACTAATGCCCCCTTAATGACAACGTCAATGATTCTGAATCTTAGATGTCACAAATGCACAGTAAAGGTAAAGTGTTACATTTTCCAAGTGGATTGCTCACTTAGAAACAATTTATCAATCCTTTCATACATTTTTAAGTGCATTTCAATTAGAAAATGTGTGAAACTTTTCACTTTAGACATTCATGTGACATTATCTCAATTGCGTGTTTGTGTTTGGTTTAGGACGTGTGCCCATGAGGTCGTCATCACTGGTCCTGCTCCTCCTGATCGGCGTCCAGGCTGTACTGAACATGGGAGGTGGATTGGCCCGGAGTGCCGGGGCACCCAACCACAAAGTAGGACAGCAGACGGCAGCCAATCACAGAGCAAGACAACAGCACACAGTAGCCAGGGACCATCTTACTGAAGAGCACACTTCGAAGCAGCATCATAGGACCAGCCACCACAGGACCAAGAGGCCTCATCGGGCAGCTTTAAATGCAAAGGATAGGAGCCCTCTTGTTGGGCACTCTACGTTGGATTCCCTCCCTGACCCCTCCAACCCAGTGGTGGATCCCAAGCTCTTCTCCAAGAGACGTTACCGTTTCTCACCTCGTGTCGTCTTCAGTGAGGTTCCACCATCACATGATGCCCTAGAAGGTGAGGGCTATGAAATTGATGGAGTTAGAGGGGTGAGGGTAAGGCGCCGAGCAGGATCACGCACCATGCACCGAGGAGAGTACTCGGTATGTGACAGCATGAATACCTGGGTGAGCAACCTGACAAAAGCCACAGACATGTACGGAAACGAAGTGGAAGTGCTGCCCAATGTTACAATCAACAATGTGGTGAAGAAACAGTACTTCTATGAGACCACCTGTCGATCCCCTACTCAAAGGGGTTCTGGAAACGCAAATGGTGGGAAGCCGGGGGGTTGGGGTGGAAAACAAGGTTCCAAATCAGGCAACTCGGGCTGTCTCGGCATCGACAGTCGCCACTGGAACTCCTACTGCACCAACTCACATATTTTTGTAAGTGCCCTCACCACCTTCAATGAACAGACAGCCTGGCGTTACATCCGCATCAATGCCGCCTGTGTGTGCGTCCTCAGCCGGAAGTCTTGGGGAGGAAGGCGGGGGCACTGACTGAGGCGGACGCCCGACCACCAGACTATGAACCGAGCACAAACATTTCTCATTAACAGCCACTGCAGCTTTATTGCCAATACTGTAATCCTTTCCCACACATCCAGACAAACACCCCCACTGACCAAAGCATCCAAACAACACACGTACTTAATGCAAACACACACATCCACACACTCGAACATCTGTCCAGCCCCTCGGCCCCCCGACCCTACCTCAGTCAAAGAAGTCCTGGTTGTTTTAAATTATGAGGACTGCATGTCATATTTATGGTTTATACAGTCAAATATAAAATTATATACAGTATGTGTATATATACAAAATGAATTCAAGCTTTTAATGTTGATGTTATTGTTGTTTTTGTGTTGTTCATGCTGTTATTTATTAAACACCTCAGTACTTGCCCGGTTTGTTGTGTCTGTTTGAGATCATGCTGACCGTCACACATCTGCAGGTCTGATCAACTCTGGTTGTTTTAACGTCTTTTAGCTCTTTGCTTCACAACTTTAGTTTCATTGTCATCTTCTGTAAACCATACAAAATCCAACCAGCGTCATAAACAGGTTCGATAAACTTTAGCGTTTAGCTCATGATAAATCCAAAAGCAGCAACCTTCGGGGAAACAAACAAGACACTAAACTTTATTTGATGTACTTGTGTTTTCTTTCTTTATAATCTTTGCTTATATTAAATATTGTAAGCATATTCACATATACCAGTTAAAGTGGGGAAGAGAAATCTCAACGTGCAGTAACACGGGGTTTCTAACAGTCATTGTCTTCTTTAAATGATTCCCACGTGCAAAAGCTAAAAGTCACAAGCCCAGACACTGAGTCACCTTAAATATTTTCCAAATATTGTTACCACATAATTATTATTATTATTCTATTTTCTTTTTTGTTCTTTTTTTTTAATTCCCAAATTTCTGGTGACTCATGTCTCTGCATTAAGATATTCCAGGAGAGAGAACAGCACCCAAAAGCAGAGGAGGCAGTAGAAAGACTTGTATGTGAACATCGATGCCTGAAGGAATGTGATTCATTCCATGCAGGCACGAGAGACGTGCTTTGCATTTTATACACACAGATTTATTAGCTGTGATGTTCCCAGTGTTCCCAGCAGTAGTGGTGACTTCTCGCCAGCTTGGCATACCGGTGTAAACACTACGGGAAGTCTCTGTGCATTTGTACTTGGAAGGAATGAATATTGCATAGAGACAGGTTCACAACTAAAGAAAAATAGCAAACTGTATCTTAGCAAGGTACTAGGGCCACAATGAGTCACTACAACAGCTTTAATGTTTCTGATCTTAGAAAGTTTGGACACTGGTGGGAAAAACATGCACATTTTTTCATGAGATAAGCTAAATGCAAGCATTTTTTTCACATGTAAATGCAACATCTAATACATTATTTTTCAATACCTTGTTTGGCCTTAATCAGATTATTAGGACTTGTGCTGCAAGTCAACTACTGCTTCTATAGCATGATCAACTTCAAACGTTTTGATACTCAGCAAGTGTGGCAGTGGAAATGTGAAGCTTACAAAGCCATGAAAGACTCTGTAATCATATCAAGTCAAACATGAACACCTCCGAGGTAAAATATCAATCATCTGAAATGTCAGGAAATGGCAATCAAGGGGAACTGAGGGGAAAAAGAACTAATATGAAACATGTCTGCTAGGCTGGAAGGTTGCACAAAAACCTCATTGTGACTATAAAGAAAGTAGCTTAAGGAAGTAGCCTTGACTTGTTTACAGCAAAGGTGTAACCCTCCAACCTCATCAAAAATTCAACTCGAAGTCTATTGATAAAACAATTCAGCTTTGGAGGAATGTTTGGTCAAAGAGATGAGATGCATTTGATGGTTAAACATAGACTAGAAATGTGCTTTTGATTATGTGACATAGGTGCTGATACAACAGATCAATATTTCAAGCAGCCAAGAATCCACTATAGGTTGTCCTCACCGTTCTCTCCCACACAACAATGACTGTCCGGCTGCATTTTCAGTTTTCTATGGGGCACAATTAGTCTTGACTGAAGCTGTTGACTAAGGGATACGAAGTATTGATTATATTTGAGCTAAAGGCCCCTTGTGATGCATGAACTCCAGTCACCATTTTGCATATTCCTGTGTTGTTTCTTTTTTACTTAGGAAAATATATTTATCACATTCCCTCTCTACAAGACATGTAATCATAACAATAATTCATGGGCAACAGTGAGACTTTGTCATTTGACTTGATGTTGTGTTTTGATAAGATCTGTGACATGCTAATTAAATACACTAACCACAACACACCACCTATCACTGAAATATGAGGTCTTACTGAGGGCAAAGTCCTACGGAGCCCCGCAAGGGACATGGGAGAAAAAAAATTAATCTTTCATCGTAATTTTTTTTCTCCCATGTCCCTTGCGGGGCTCCGTAAAGTCCCGGACTTGGCCCATGCACTCGCGCATTCATGGCTAAAGCCTCTGTTTAGGTGAGAATCTGCTACCCTCTTGTGGTCACATAGAGAACTGTACTTAACACTCAGATGAATAGCAGAGAACTTCTCTCACATAACTCTATTTCTTCCAAACAGCAGTTGAATTCTGCACCTCTTTTCACATCCTTGCCAGATACCTGGCTGCACTCTCACCTGCACTAACCCTGCGGGTTCACAGGTGCTTTTGAGCTCTGATCGTGTTGCCAGGAAACCTCATCACAGCAAGGCTGTCTGATCAAAGGGGGGTTTTTATGTTAAAATTGTGGCCTCAAAATACCTTTCACTTTGGAAAGAGCTGCTAACAGGCGGTCTGCTAACCCTGACATATTTTCCTTTGAGTTTGCTGCAGTTGCTGTGAAGTTATACAAGACACTTGAAGCTTAAATCAGTGTCTCAAAGGAGAAGCAAAAAATCGCTTTTCTTTGATGAATCTTCTTTATGTGCACTTTTCTGAAATAGATTGAGGTCATAGAGGTGAGCACGACTCAAAACAGTGACTCCATTACATTTCCATCACTGCACACATGCTATCAAAGAGTCTTTGAACGAAGCCCATTGTAACATGCATTTGGCAGGGTGCAAACTGAGTGAAGCCACAGAAAATTCATTCTTGGTGTGACCAGCAGATGGCGCTACGCTGCCAGGGATAGACAGTCTGTTTAAACGTGCCTACAAGTTTGGTGCTATGAGAGTGTTGAACATCTCTTCATTAATATGAAATAAATTACAATTTTGTGTGAGGCTGCATTGATTTTACAGCTGGCAGGTCTCACGGAAAGGGCGAAGGCCTTCATCCAGACCAGGATGAAACAATGGGCAAACATCTGCTCTTGATGATCCCACACATTCAAGAAACAAGAAACAAAAGTATGATCTGCTTACAATAGAACGCCAATAACAGTGATGACAACATGCTTCCAAAAAGACTCGACTTATACACGTCGCCTTCCAAGTAAAGTCAAACCTATCAGTCGCCTTGAAATACCAGAGCCATAATAGATCAACTCAATGATTGACCCATTAAGTATCTTGTTGAGCTATAAATGATCCAGCTGGTCATTTGTTATCTATTTTAGTGGAGGCTAAGACCTGCACATACTTTTCATGTTCACATGTTTGGAACTGCATAGCAACTGAGCCACTAACAGCCAACAACAGCCAACAAGCTGAGTGGTCTTATCAGCCTTTCCACTTTTGGAGCTGCTCTGAAAAGTGTCCAGTGTAAGCTTTGTTGTGGTTTCTTCATCTTCCACAGTTCCTCTAATGGGTCTCAGAACACAAATAGGGGTTTTTAACTGATTCAATTTTGAGACAGATGCACATGCGAATGACTGGAAACAGTTGCATGTTTTCTCTAAAATCTCTACCATGTCAGTTCTATCTGATTCTGCCTCCCCTTCAGCTTGGCAGACCACTTTGTTTCCAATATCAGGACATTTTTTGACCAGTGTCTGACTGCCACTGATAAAAAAAGACATAAATAATTTTCTTTGGCTGTTCTCCCTGCTTCCAATAGCTGTATGGAAAATATGTTGAATATGGTGCTCTGCAGTTATTACATGTCATCGATGACAAACATCCGACAGACGAGCTGCTCTTTCCATTTCATTACCTGCACAAATAAGTCTGTTAATTATACAGTAATGGTTATTTTGACCCAGTGATCCAGCTGCAATATAAAAATAAGAACACTAACAACCTGAACTGGTTACCTAACTTAGTAATTTCCATTATTATATATTATTTTGCTATGAATTATATCGTACGTAATACATTGTTTGAAAAGTGTCTTCACTTAATTATTTAAACAGATTTTAGTGACATCAATATGTTGACATATTTTATGTGAGTAGGAAGAAAATGAACTTGTATGAACTCATCCCACCAGGATTAGATTAAGCACCACAGGCAGCTAAGGATAGAGGTTTTTTTTGCAAGTTTTTTTTCATCTTTTTCAAAATTATTTTTTGAAAGCACAGCGAGCTGAAAGAGAGGAAGGAATGTGCTTACACACCACTCTTTATCATTAGTTATTATTCAGCTCTGGCTCTCTTCCACAGTGCATTCTTTCTCTTGTCTTCCTCCCATCACTCCCAACGGTCTTGGCAGATGGCTGACCCTCCCCGAACATGATTCTGGTGGTTCTTCCTGTTAGAAAGGAGTTTTTCCTTCCCACTGTCACCAAGTGTTCCATCAAAGGGGATCATTTGAATGTTGGGGTTTTGTCTCTGTCATTGTAGTGTCTTTACCTTACAATATAAAGTGCCTTGAGGCAACTCCCGATTTGATTTAAGACTGAATTGAAAGTTTGCGCTGAACATACATTTTGAGTAATGTAATTAATACCCATTTCTAATCACCAACCAGTTAATTTTTTTTATCTTTATCTGGGACTTTATTGTATATTTCACTTTCCACATTGAAGGTAGGCTGCCGTTATGCAGAATGCGATACATTTCAAACAAAAAACAGCAAATAAATATACAAAGCCAAAAATAAACTTAAAAACATTACAATTTTATTAAAAAATAGTAGCCTAATTCCGTTTGTGGGAAACTGATGTCTCCGTTTTCAGGCAAATAATAAAAAAAAACGTCCCCATTGAGCAGTCTCAACCCCCCCTTCTGCCACCCTCTGCATTATTGAAAGGGGCGGTCTGGAAAGAGTCTAAGCGGATCCTGCAGTGTGTGTGTGTGTGTGTGTGTGTGTGTGTGTGTGTGTGTGGTAGAGAGAGAGAGAGGCTACCGTGACAGCGTCTCTTGATGCTGAAGCGCTGTCGCAGTGGGCTGAACCGCTGTTTCTTCTTTGTTCCGTCAGGGTAACCATCTGAGTATTTTACGGAGATAAACAGAATAAAGTGTCATTCAGTCGCAATGGGGAAGGTGGAGGGAGGAATGAAATGCGTGAAGTACCTGCTGTTCGTGTTCAACTTCACATTCTGGGTAAGTGGATGTTTTTGGTTCTGGTGCTGATGAGATGCAAGTTGCGCGTAAATAAACGACGAGCAAGTGCAGCAGTGCGGAATAGCAACTCTCACTCCGCGCGGCAGACTTTCGCGTCCACGTGGTGTTTTAGCGGTGATGCAAAGGCGCTTTGCAGTTTTCACCCACGAATATCTGCTTTGTTTAGTTGCTTTCCAGCACGGGTTTGGGCTGTTCTGCGTGGCGCTGAAAGGGTGACAGCTAGAGGTTTTTTAGTTTTGGCTCTCCGGTCTCAAATCAGATTTTCCACAGAGGAAAATCCCGCCCCCCTTCTTCTTCCCGGGGAAGCGTGTTTTTGAAAGGAAGACTGAATGAAAAGGCAGAGAGGGACACAGATTGAGACACAGCAGCGTGGAAAACAAGCTGAGCTCTTTGCGCTCTGTGCTGTATTTCCTCATTAACACAAACTGTCAACTGACTTGTAATCAAGAAAAGCTCTACTCGCACTTCTGTTTTCTTTACAAGCAGCACTCAGAGATAAACTCATGCTACTCCAGACAGTCAGGTGGCTGCCAACGATGGATATACGTCGGTGTGTTATTTTGTCTTGTGCACATGCTTTCCACACGTGAATAAACCTCACAGGTTTGGCTATTCATTCCTTACAGATTCTTTGTGTGACCGTGAGTGTTGGGCTGCACTTTGCCTTTATTTATGCCGCTGTTCACACTCACCACTCATGGACAAGTTTCTTTGTGTGTGTGTATCTTTGCGCGTGTGAAAGAGACTTTTCCAACAAGCATCTGTGGAGTGGATCAGGCGCTGAGCGCCCTGTGAAAGGATCTATTGTGACAGTGGGACAATGGCATAATTTCAGGCTGCTGCTCGAGCCCTGGCTGCTCCTGCCCGGCTAAGCAGCAAAGCTTGCATGAGTCCCACTTCTCCTACGATTGACTGGTCCCACCATTGGCAAACTCCACTATCCCTGGCTTGATGGCACCTGTGAGTGGACACTTGCATGCCGAGGGGTAAAAATGAGAGATATGACAGGGTGAGAAAGAGTTAGCCATCCGATAGGCAAGAGTTAAAGATTTAGAGATGGAGGATGTACAGTGAGGCAGACAGTGAATGTGACAGAAGAGAAAAGGGTCACTGGGAGATTGCGAGGGATAGTGTGTGCGTGCTCACATGGTGTAAGAGGGACAGTTGGCTTGAATTTGACCCAGATAAGGACAGAAAACAGATCAGTATGAGCGTGTTGGAGTGCTCTGTGGATGAATGCCGACTGCTTGTGTTACAAATGAAAAAATGAAAACAGAAACTATTCTTCATTTGCAGTTTTTAGTCTGCTTGATTACCCACCACTCATAATCATTGCACGCCAATTCCCGCTGGGCCGCAGTCCTCTCTGTTGTTTATGGAGTGAGTGATGAAGAGAAGGGAATGATGAAAGCAAATAGGATTTCTTTGAAATCCCCTCCTGAGCCCCAGTTGACGGTTGAACACTAATACTCTGACTGTAGACCGTTAAACAGAAAATAAATCCTTTTTTTACCTCAAGTATATAAAGAGTGATATTACTGTAGTTATACACATGAAACACACACAGACACACACTCCAGCTCCCACCATTCGGGTGAGATGAGATTCCCGCAGAACCCTGTTAAAGAAAAGGCCACTGATTAAACGCAGGCCAAGCTATTGTGTATATTTCACCATATTTCTTCTGTAAACAGACCATCAGTACCTCGCTGCCTTGTCTGCTCTGTGTTCTTTGCCCTATTTAGTAAAAAATTAAGCCAGCAAGGTAAACAGAAGGCTATAAGGCAAACACTGTCTCAGAGTGTTGTGCACAAAAGGTGCAGTAGGAAACTTTAGTTTACCGGTTATCAGTCCAACAGAAAATAATGTCCTTGTTCTTGTGCAGAGATTATCATCTTAAAAAGGTCACACATGTGCTTGTAATCTTTTCTTCCACCGTTTCTCAATTTGTTACAAATGATACCATTTATCTGATGCAGTCAAACTGCAAGCAACGTTGGTACTTATGAGTCAGCTATAGTAACACTGGGTATCACATTGAGGGAAAGTTTTGTTCTCCTGTTTTTACATCTAAAGAGCATTCGATGCAATTTCTAAATAGAGCAGGATCTAAGTATGCGCCAGCTGCTTTTTCACGGATCAAACATATCAAACATTTTAATCTGCATTCTGTAAATCGTGGTATAAATGAATACAAAAACATATTTTCCCACAATCAATTAGAAAGGAAGATTTACTTTCTTTCTAATTGAAAATGAAAGCGCCTGCTGGGGAGCGTACCAAGTCTTTCACAGAAATGAAATGACCTTATCCAAAGCAAATGAAAGCCACAAGACTCATAAAGTCAAGATGTAACAGTACAAAGAGAACTGAAACAGAACTGAAAAACCCTGCATGAATACAGTATTTAATGCAACCAAACCAACCAACTAAAAGACAAACAAAACAGAGCACTGGGGTCATGTAGGACTTTTAACACGCATGCAGCAGAACAGGGTAAGAGTACGCTAAAGGGACATCACTTCAGGAAACATTCAAATGTCAGCTGGGATAGTTTGCAACTCTTCAAGCCACCCTATTCTCAAACTGCTGAAGTGATTAAGAAAATTGATGGATGGATGGAAAGTAAGTGGCTAAAGGACACGAGATCAAGAAAAACTGGTATGCCATGTTGACACGTTGAGTAATTAATTCCCTTGTAAATGTCAGACTCCACTGGCTCCAGCTCACATAATTCTTGTACGGCATCATGTTATTTGACATTTTTTGTTTGCTTTCCTGCTGCCACTTCAGCTGGAGCAGGTTACTCATACTTTGACCGCTGTCTGGATACATTTAGAAGACATTGTTTTGAAGATTTCTGGTAAAAAGCCTAAAAAAACACTTTTTGTAGATGTGTTTCACTCCACCAGTCCCGCCTGTGGCTGAGTACAATAGCATTTACTCCACCCATAATTATGTCGCTCCTATTTACACTTTGCTGCTGCCCATCATTTTTAATGTGCCCTTGCTTCTGTTTTTTCCTAAACATGTACTAGACAAAAGACTATTTTAAAAGAAGCTTAACCAATTACTGCTGGATTTGAATTGTTTGAAAGGGATTTTTCTTGTTACTTTTATAAACTATTTTTGGTTTAATATACAGTAAAGCTCTTTTTTTGTCTGAACTAGAAAGTGGATAATGCCACAGACTGTCTCTGACCAAGACCACAGCCCTGTGTCAGCTCAGCCCCTGCTTTCATGGAAATTCCCCTCACAAAAACACTATGTAACGGCACTTTTAAAAAGCAGGCCTTAAACTGCAAAAGAACCTCAATAAAGCTCCAATACCAAGATTTCCATCCATTCCTGCAAATATCCAGACATAAAAGGCATTGGTACTGAAGGGGGGACACAGGGAAAAACTGGTGTTTTGGAGACTTAGGCTATACAGAACACACCGAGAGATTTTAATACTCTGAACAAAATGTGTCCGTAGTCTGTGCATGCAAGCAGAGGAGTCTTCTAATGACTTACTCCGTCCTTTTCTCTCTCCCATCCCTATTCCAGTCTCTCTTTCATTGTGTCTGTCAGTTTCCATCCTATTGTGCACTAATGCATATAGTCACAGGGAGACAGTGGGTCTTTGTCCTTTGGTGAGATTGGGAGGGCGAGGCTGCGATGAGGTGGGGTTAAAGAAGGGGGGCTACATGGGGATAATCAGGGGGCGGTAGCAGAAAACAAGGGAGGGGTGTGGCAGGGG